TATATATATATATTACTTAAAGTTATAAAAGCTACAATAATTCGGTTCCTAGGGGATTAAATATAGTAATCAGTATCAAGAATTAAAAGTTTTTTTATTAAAAAATATTTAAACTAATTCTATTCAATCATCTAGGGCACAGTTTATTGTTGGCCATCATCAGCTTCAAAATCGCAGAGGATATTGATGATATTTTGATTTTCAACCAAATAAAATAAAGTTTTCTAAAATCAATCTAAAATGATTAATTTCCATATTTATTTTAAAAAATTGTCAATTCTTCGCTGGAAATTCAAAATAACAAATTGTATAAGTATTAAAAAACAAAAAAATCATATTTAAAAATTTTTAAAATAAATAATTGACATTAGCTATGATAAAGGTAATAGTACGTTTTAGAATGCAAATACGGTGAGGCGGCTCTGTGAATTATAAATAAGGTAAACAAATTATACAATGCAAAATTTCAATCTAACAAAAACAACATACAAATATCCACTAATTATCAGAAGATAACACGGTTGTATAAATTTATTAATGTGAATCATCGTCTCTGAATATAAGCAAAAATGGACTATTAAATATAAAATTCCAAAAATACTAAAAACTGTAAAAATAATAAGGATTCTATTTTAATTATTTACTTAAATTTTGCGTAAAAAACAATTTAATTTTGAGTTTTTTCAAGTAACTTATACCCGAGACACAAATTTGAAGCTTGAATTTAAGCTGTTGAGGCTGATTTTAAACTTAAGTCAAACTTTTCAAGCTGAATTAAATTTAAAATGAAACTGCAGTTTCATTTTAATATTAATATTCTATTTTTGAACTGGAGGACCTGATTTTCTAAGTCAGATATCTTGGAGTTTTTAAAAGTGAAAAATAATGAGCATTCTTTAAAATTTTAATTCAGCCTTGTAGTCGACGTTCCAGACTTTGGATTCAAAGGTTCCGGGATCGAGTCTCACCAAGAATAACTTCTTCTATTTTATTTTTCAACTTTATTAATTTATCGTCTATAAATTAAATGCTGATATATACGGTTCACAATGTTGTTTATTAGTTATCATTGCGGTTTCAATTAATAAATAAAAATAAATAATAATAATAAAGATGTGAGCAAATATAAAATATTTTTTTAAAAAATATTAAATTTATTACAAAAGGCGCCATTCAATTTTTCAAATTCATTAAATAAAACTGCGATAACTATAGAGTACATATCTCATTAATATCACAGCCGCGAATGCAATCAACTACACCAAATTTTTATTAACGAACATCTTCTTCGGTCAGCCTAAATTATAAACCTGTTTTGAAGCTGAATGACTTTTTTTCATCATTAAAATTAACCATAAGGTCAACCTGATATTCCTAAAACGTCAAATATTCGGAACTAGAAAATTCAAACCAGTTCTATCTTCAAATACAGTTTTCTATACTAATTTTAAAACTGCGAAAATAATAACCGACAATTTTGGCAGTTTCATTCTAGTTTTCAGCATTTTGCCTTAGGCACACTGACAAAGAAACATCAAAATCAAAAACACTAAAATTTTTATGATATTGAAATTAACAGACATCGGAAAATTATTTTAATATTTCTAACAATTAAATTATAATGAAAAAAATAAGAAAAAATAGTTTCCTATTTCGAAATTAAAAAAAAAAAAAAAGGATATTCGTGCAATTTTTTAAAAATATTTTCTTAGTAGTAATCAATTTTCTAAATAAAATAAAAAATGGTAAGTAGTTTATTGGATGTAGATCAGTAAAATTTTTAATGAAAAGTTTTGTTAGTACTGAATTTGTCAAATATGTAAAATATAATTTCCATTACATAGTATAATCAATTGCATATTTGTATTTAGCAAACTTTTTCTCAACTTTTGTAACAGTTACTATTTATCAAACAGATATAATTGAAATAGTAAAAATACAATACAATATGAAGCTTGAATGATTTCATTGATTAATAACAACTAATACAAAAAAAAATTCTCGAGTTGTTGACTCAACTGTCAGACTCTAGTGACCATAACTATTACGTATATTAAGGTGATATATCGCACACATACCTATACGTATAATTTTATATCATGAAATACACTGACAAACGTATACACATTCAAACCTATATATAGAAGGTTTTATTTCCTCCCCACTCCGAAGTAAGTGAGAGGTTCCATGGTAACTTGTATGGAGTGGGTTGGTCGCAACGACGAATCATAACAGTCAAGTAGATGTTATTCGTCCGTTCGCGAGTTGACTGTACTACTAGATTAAAAAATAGTGTTCATAGACTTTTATTAATTATCTAACTATTATTTAATTGTATCACTATTGAAATATTCTTCAAGTGCTGTGAATAAACTTTTTTTTTTTTTTTTTTTAGTTTATTCAATCATTTTCTATAACAAATAATTGCCATTGGAAGTCGTGAGTCGTTCTCGACTCACATTATTCTATCGAGGTTTGTAGACAATTGGGTACAATTTATAAAAACATACAAAATTAATTTTAATTTATAAATTAAATAATTAGTTTTTTGATTGACAGTTGACTAATTAAAACTCTCATTTTACACATAATGATATAATTATTGTTATAATAATAATAACAAGTGGTTAACGGAAAACGATAAGTATTAAGGTAAACCGCGATAAGTTTAATTGCATAGTTTTGAAATAATCGCTCGATTGTTCCATCTCTTTTAACATATAATGTCCTGTTTTATGAATAAAATCAAATAGTTCCAAGTGTCACAAAAAAAAATGTTGACTTTTTGGGAGATTATATTTAACAAGAAGTCAGAAATTTATAATTGTCAACTTAAATTTAACAAAACATTAACAAAAAAAAATTTGTGCCGCTTGGGGTATGATTTGTTAGCTCTAAAAGTTATTAGTCATCATTTAAGAAACGAAATAATTTTCCCGCGCGAATTTACGATATGAACAAAAAAAAGGAAATATTCAATCAATTTTAATTTATGATGTTAGTTTATTACGATATCAACAGATCAGTTACACATTAAGATTTAATATTTTGTTAATTATATTATTATCATCATTTTTAGCTACATGTCCCATTTTGATTACACTCGGTAACTTTTTGTAAGCTTATAATTGGCCTTTGTGCTGTTGGGTTATTAAATGAAAAAAATAAATTACTTTTATTACAAAGTTTAAAAGGAAATCAATTTATAAATAGTAAATAATTGGATAAAGTAATAAATGAATTTTTCCTCATGAGTTTAAGTTCTTACACGTCTTTCAAAATCAATGGGTCATGGTCGTATACAGCTCTATAACTAGTCATAGTCATAAACATGGTATTGATGTGATTTCACTTACATATCTCGTGAATAAATAAGAGAATTACTGCAAATTCTTGCGGACACGAACAATTTACAACAACACGACAGCGTTTGATATGTAAATTAAAGGCAATAAATTAATATTGTTATTGTTTTATAATTTTAATAAAAGTTATTTTAAATTAACAGAGTTTCATAAAAACGTTAAAAAAAACTAACTTTTTCTCTATAAAACTAAAATTGGAATAAAAATCTCAATCTCAGTTATAAAGTTTTGTTTGAATAAAAAAGTTTATTTCGCTGAAGAATGAAAGTTAACTTACATAATAGTTTTTTTATTTTATAAAGACAAAACGCTTACAATTTATAGTAAATGTCATCCATGGATGAATTGTGGCGGGAACTAGATAACAGAGTTAAGGGACAGGTGTCGGAGATTTTTTTAGTAACTATAGATCATCGAGAAAGAAGTTGGCTCGTGCCCATAACCAGCTGTCGAGCAACAGCTGCATCTGGAATAGGGGATGTTGTAGTAGTTGAATCAAACGGCCGTTGAGCCATATATATATATATATATACCAATTGCAAAACATATGTATTATATTTTATGTATTCTCTCGATTGGAGCGATTCATGTGTTTAAGCTTCATATTAAACTTCTCAAGTATCGAGATTATAGAGTTGAGGATTAAAAAATATTCTTAGTTAAATTTGTACTTTCTTTTAAAAGCTTTTGCTAATTTGAAATTTATCTTTAAAAAGTAATGAGAGTAACAGAACAAATTTAATCCTTTAATTTCATTCATACATAATGATAGAAATTGATATTTTTTTAAACAGAATATTTAAATATTCTTATTAGAAATTTAAAGAAAAATTCGTAATAATTAAAAATTTTTACGTTATTAAGATTATTGTTATTGTTTAATGAATATATACTTTTCATGTACGTATTTTCATAACGTATGAAGAAATAGTAGTTGATTATTATTCAAGACTATATTTATACTAAACTCCATTATTGGTATAATGGGATCGGCTGTCATGTTATTCGCCTTGAAATTCTACTATATTTCGTTCAGGTACCATTCATGGATCGATCGACTGCCGAAACCGCGAGTAGAGGCATATACCTTTTGTGGACTATTGATTTTTAAATTTTTTAGACAAACACAAACAAAAAAGAATGTGCACATGAATAATAATGAATAACCAACGACAATAACAATAATAATCCTTTTCATTTTTATTGGATTACTTTGTTTCTCTAAAAATTATTTGATATTGATTTCATTTCTATTTTTGTACACTCTTTTTTTTATGTTTATATTCTTACCAAAATTATTTTTATTAGGTATAAAACTTTTTCACATTCACAACCATATATTTTAATAATATTATTATTTTGATGAAGCTAAGAGGTTTTATGCAACGATAGTACTATAATTTCTTAAAATTCATAGGCATAATAAGGTTTATTAAGAGAAACAATAAAAATGAGAAGAAAAACGACTCGGAGAAATTAGAGATATCTTTCATTGAAATAAATATGATGACAAGGAATAAAAGATGGCAAAAATTTTATACAAGCATATTCCATAAAAGAGAGTAGACAGTTAATTTTATTTCATATTTATAAGTATGAATTTCGCACAATTTTTTTTCTCATGCATAAGAAAAGTGAATTGTAATCTTGTAGCATGGGAATGATTATCATGTGCATGATAAGAAGATACAGGAAAGTCTCTATAACGTTCTTACTTTGACTTCCAACTTAAAAATATTTTTCCACTACATACTAACAGGATAAGTAATATTTCTCATAAAAAGTAGTGGAGAGACATCTACTGCCATGTGTTCTCTGACTTTGATTTTAGGCATTTAAGACGCATATACACGGAAAAAAATAAAGTGTTGCTGCAACAGGAGGCAGTCATGTTGCAGAAACAGGACAAAATCCTGTTGTAGCAACATGATTACTACTGTTGTTGCGACTTAATAGTAAAATATAGTTGGGTTATTCCATATGTCAAATTGACCATCAGTTGGAATTGACCCCTTTTGGTTTGGATAAATTTTGGTCAGAAATTTTCTTTTATCATATAACGAATTTCTGCCAGAGGAAAAAAAATTAAAAAATTTTTTTCAAAAGATATGCAAATTCAAAATTTCGCTATTTTTTCAGTTTTTCAAAAAATAAGAAACTATATCATGTGTTAAGCTTGCGACTTTAAGATTACTCCAAAAAAATAAAAAAAAATTGAAATTAATTTATTATTTAATATTTCCACGTCGTGCATTTAATTTTTGAATGCTCAAAATTACAATACTATATATCTGCATAACTTTACCTTATTTAAAAGTTGCAAAATACAAGAAAAAATTTTTTTTTGAAATTCAAAAATTCATATTTAAAAAAAAAACACACGCACAGTTCTAAAAATTTCAGGGTTTTTTAAGATCAGTACAAGGTACTATACAAAAATAATTGAGCCAAAATTTTAATGTCGATTGTCATGTTTGACGATTTTCAAAAATTTTAAATTTGACAAATTTGGCATTTTTTTCCAAAATATTTCTTTTTTCAATAACCTCAAGTGTCCCCTTTCAAACAATCGAAAGACCATTCCTGTATCTATAATAGCGTACGAAATTTTTGAATGCTCAAAATTACAATACTATATATCTGCATAACTTTACCTTATTTAAAAGTTGCAAAATACAAGAAAAAATTTTTTTTTTGAAATTCAAAAATTCATATTTAAAAAAAAAACACACGCACAGTTCTAAAAATTTCAGGGTTTTTTAAGATCAGTACAAGGTACTATACAAAAATAATTGAGCCAAAATTTTAATGTCGATTGTCATGTTTGACGATTTTCAAAAATTTTAAATTTGACAAATTTGGCATTTTTTTCCAAAATATTTCTTTTTTCAATAACCTCAAGTGTCCCCTTTCAAACAATCGAAAGACCATTCCTGTATCTATAATAGCGTACGAAATATTCCAAAAACAAAATTGAAAAACTGAAAAAATAGCGAAATTTAGAATTTGCATATCTTTTGAAAAAAATTTTTTAATTTTTTTTCCTCTGGCAGAAGTTCGTTGTATGATAAAAGAAAATTTCTGACCAAAATTTATCCAAATCAAAAGGGGTCAATTCCAACTGTTGGTCAATTTGACATGGAATGACCCAACTATATTTTATAAGTCGCAACAATAGTAGTAATCCTGTTGCAGCAACAGTTTATTTTTTTCCGTGTAGTCCAAGTTAAGGAGACTCCACTGTAACCTGTTATATATGTTTAACCCGTAGTGGTTAAACTTCTTATATTAATAAAAATAACGTAGTGGTCATACTGGGTCTAGTTGATCCCATGCACGGAAAAAATTATTGCTACTTGCGTTCTTTCCAATATTTTCACTCGAGCCGTACATGAGAGTAATTCTTAACACTTCCGTTGAATAACTCAATCGTTTTTTAATTTTTTTTTTTTAATTGTTTAATTATAAAAAAAAATGCGAGAAATTTCGAAAAATTTGACTTTTTTTTTTTTACTAAAAACTTGATTTTTTAAGATAAATGAAAATTACCTCCGGATTTCTACTCTGGATATCACATACTTTGAAAAAAAAAGTGGTGTCATGTCGAGCTTTTCAAAAAGTATATTGATTTGTGCAATTGAAATCGTAAATTTCCATGAATCTAAAAAAATCTTCAAACAATAATAGATGCCCGACCAGAAATTTAAGTTCGGCGGTGGTTCATTCCGAATTCGGCATGCCAAGTTCCAAGCTCGCGCCGAATCAGGAAGCCAAAGTTGGCCCACGTCCCGGAAGTAACGCGGTCGCGAGTTTGGGCCTAACTTGGCTTCCGACTTAGGCGGTGGTTTGGAAACCACACTTGCTGGTGACTAACTAAGCCTCATTCGGTCCGAATTTGGCTACCTAACTAGGCAGCAATTCAGAAACCAAATTCTCACGGAATAATCCAAATTGAGTCCTTTCTTCGTTTTTAGCTACTTTTGTGATAAAGCAAAAATTTACAATAATGAATGCTTATTTTTTTAATTTACTTTTAAAATTTTAAATATGAATATTGACTTTAGGACGAATTTTTTAAAATACTGAGTAAAAAAAATTTTTTTTTTTTCATTTAGGTATTACTTTTTTTTATATTTCTGGTAATTTTTTTCGCTTTTTAGGATTTTTCTTACTATGGAGTTTTTTTTTTGATTGGTCGGTTTTATAGGTCAAGGGGGATGATGGAGTTAGATACATTAGTCACACACAACACTTAAATTTACCTCACACCCGCCTTAAGAGTAATTATAACTAATAATTATTAAAAATTTTACATCGAACGCGAGACTCGAACACTGTACCCGACGCACGAGAGCCCTATACCGTACCGCGACGCTACGCCGGCGATGAGCGACCTCTTGCCTCAAGATACTTATAAGCCTGACACTTCGGCAAACATTCAGTTACCGTTGCAACGTTCGAGTTAGGAATTCCGATATTATACCTAAGTGAGAATTTGCCACAAACTTACCTAGTCAAGTTCGATTTTGATAGACCAAGCTTCAGAATGCCTTTAGTTACTGTTCGGTAAGCTTTTGGTTACCGTTATTTCGTACCAGTTTGGCAATTCATGGCATACCGAACTTAGGCACTGCCACAATTTTGCCTAAATGAGCCCGAGCTTGGAGAACCAAACTTCGGTAATCCTTTGGTTACCGTTATTTCATACCAGTTTGGCAATCCATGACATATCGAACTTAGGCATTGCCACAGGTTTGCCTAAATGGGCCCAAGCTTGGTGAATCGAACTTTGGTAAGCCTCTTTGGTTGCCGTTATTTCATAACAGTTTGGTAATCCATGACATACCGAATTTAGGCATTTCCACAGTTTTGCCTAAAGAAGCTCGATCGTGGTATGCCAAGTTTCAGTAAACCTTTGGTTACCGTTATTTCATAACAGTTTGGCAATCCATGACATACCGAACTTAGGCATTTCCACAGTTTTGCCTAAAGAAGCTCGATCATGGTATGCCAAGTTTCGGTAAGCCTTTGGTTACTGTTATTTCATAACAGTTAGGCAATCCATGATACATCGAACTTAGGCATTTCCACAGGTTTACCTAAGTAAGCCCGAGCTTGGTGAACCAAACTTCGGTAAACCTTTGGTTACCGTTATTTCATACTAATTAGGCAATCCATGATATGCCGAACTTAGGCAGTGCCAAACTATTACGAGATTACATCGAATGTGGAATTCTTTTGGCATACCAATGTTCGGCTTGCCTAATTTAAAACAAATAAGATCCGAATTGGGCTAGCCTAAGTTCGGAAAGCCAACTTCGCCCCGAACTGATTTTTTGGCATGCCTCACTAAAATTCTAGTCGGGTGATAGCACAGATACCATTTTGAATGATATCTTCGAAGCAAGAGTAACTTAACTCAAAAATTGCCTGGGGTCATCTAGACCGATAATGACCACTACGGGTTAACGAACTGAAAAAAGATACTATCTAGAATTGAATATTATTCTTTACTATTCGACTAGTCCCTATATAATGATTACTATATGTAACATATAGTAACTCATACGAGTATACATTAACGGTCGAATGATAAGTCCCGTTTTGTTTATACATAAATATTCATTTCCATTTTTCCAAATTACACATTATCTTTGGTTCTCACATGCGGATTGCAGTCATTATATATTATTAGAATGATCATTCTTTCCATTATATTGTATATTACGTATAAAACAATCAACTTATTTAAAATTACTTCACAACACATAAAATTTATTTCTCAAAATTCTGTTGACCCCTTCGTTTTTTATTAAAGCAAAAAAAAAAATAGATTATTTCGACAGTAATTAATAAACAACAATGATTTAATTAAGGGGGTATTCTAGGCTAGCAACATGAATTTCAGGTAATTATTTGAAGTGCTGTAAAAAAAAGGCAATCAATATTTTTACCATCCATTTTTTTATAATTTATTTATTAACATTACAAGAATACAGAAAAAAATAAAAAAAGTTGAAAATTCAAAAAATTAGCAGCTGATGAAGTGGGGGGGGGAGTCTCAAAAAATTGGCACGTGACCATGCCCACGATTCCAACCCTCCTAGCAATCGGAAATAAAATCTAAAAAAGATTATTAATCTAGAGTAATGTCGCTATGGCATGAACTACGGTCATCCCCAAATTTCAATTTTTACTATAATTTTTAAAAAATTCGAAAAAGTCAAAAAAAGTAGTACAAAAAATATATTTTTTTTTCAGGCAGTCGCTATTTTGTAAAAAAATTTTTTTTCAACTTTTCCCTAGTTCATGCCATAACGACATTACTCTAGATTAATAATCTTTTTTATTTTTTTATTTCCAATTGTTAGGAAGGTTAGAATCGTGGACATGGTCACGTGCCAATTTTTTGAGACACCCCCCCCCACCTCATCAGCTGCTAATTTTTTTAATTTTCAACTTTTTTTATTTTTTCTGTATTCTTGTAATGTTAATAAATAACTTATAAAAAAATGGATAGTAAAAATATTGATTGCCTTTTTTTTACGGCACTTCAAAAAATTACCTGAAATTTATGCTTCTAGACTAGAATACCCCCTTAATACTTAAAAAATTTTCACGAGCGTTCCAAAAAACTATGTCAAGTAATTATGAGCCAAACGTTAATATCAAAATTAAGAGGTCTATATAATCTAACGTAAAATTATTTTATTATAAATTCGGAATCTATATTCAATATATTCAATAAAAGTGCGTGACATGAACACAAATAATCTAAAATCCCATAACATCAAGTAAAAAAAAAAAAACTTAACTTGATTTTACTTCTTTTATATTTAGTAAGCTGCATAAAAAAAATTTCCAAATAATTTTTTGTATTCAACGGCCTTCTTCCTATCAACTGCAACATCTTCAATGTCCTTTGCCATTTAGAAGAACAAGTTTCAGAATATTTATTCATATATGTGTATTTTAAGAAGATAAAACTAAAACAATTGAGTCAGCCTTGCATAATTGAAAGTTATTTCATTAGAATACTCGCATAAATTACAAAAAGCTGTTTATCAAGCTCTAGGTCAAATAAACATCATTATAATAAATAATACAGAAGAAGATATGTTTTAATTATTATAGCTGAACGTTAAAATAGATATTATATTAACTATGTGTGCATGACGTTTATTACTTGACTTTGACATGAACTTTTAATCTAATTAATGTACAAAAACTTTGCTTTTAGGTGGCGTGGGGTACCGTGATGGAGTTGCAAAGTTGGTTTCTCTATCACCTGGTGGCCGTTACTGACTGCAATCAAGGTGCATTACAAATTTTTAAACTACTTTCAGTAACCGGCTTTATTACTTGATTTTCGGAAATCTTGAGTAATGGTTCTTCGACAAACAAACTTTTTCATTCACAAACAGATTGTTCATTAGACTTAATTTGTTTTTTATCCATCATTATATTTATGTTATTTTATGTTTAGTTTATAATTTATGATTTTAATTTGTTATTTTTTTTTTTTTTTCATTTAGTTAGCTGAATACTTTAAGTTGACACTTTATTTACTGTTGTAAATACTGGTCACTAGAGACTCAATCACACACTCACAATTCTCATTATTGAATCACTGTACATACAAGCGGCATTAAGTATCTGATGTTTGACGGTAAGTGATTTTATATTATTTATATTATTAAGCGATAATAAGACGAATTACGCTATCCAAGTAGTATCTATGGGGTATTCCATGCCAAATTGGCCACTTTTGAACCTGACCCCTTTGATCTGGCCAAAAGTTTTCCATTTTTTTCTACCCTTTGAAAAACATTTTTGAGAATTTTTTTAATTTTTTTTTATCCAACTCAAAAAAAGTTATGAATTTTTCAAAAAAATAGCTTTTTTATTTTCAAATAGCCATAACTTTTTCAAAAATTGACCTTTTTGGTGTCTTTTTTTTTTTTTAATTTTTGTTTTTAAATGAATTTTTCGAAAAAATAAACAAAAAAAATTAACATGATCAACTCTATAAAATTATCGCTTTTTTTGAATAAACTCGTTATTTTTTCGAAGTTTGCCAATTTTTATTTTCTTTTCTCAAAAAAAAAAACTTCAATTAATGTTACAATTATTCCCGCCAACTCCAAAGTAGGCCAATATTTTTTTTCTACTTTTTTTATTTAATTGATTTATTTAATAACCATTTATATTTTTTTACAACATACATCCGAGAATGTCCTATTTTTAGCAAATCTTTATTTTTTCGGTTGTATTCATTATTTGATACTTACCGACTTTTCCAATGTTGCCGATACCCATAATCCCAATATTCATTTGAGAAATTAATCTCCGAGAAACAAACATTGAATTATGTGGCCAAACCGCGCTTTTAAGTTTTTCATATTCTTCTCTTTGTCGTCTTTCAAAAGCAACGATTTGCATAATAATGTACTCAGCCATATCTAAACCATACGTCTCATCAACGAACCTAGTAATTACAAAGTTAATGTTTTTTTCATGACGTAATTCAATTAGCTGTTCAACTCCGGCTGATATTGACTGGATCCATTTAATATTGTTTAATTTGCCTCTTATTTTTGGCAAGTACCGACAGTCTGCTATCATTATTTCAACGTCATCCAATTTAAGTGATTCAGTACTGCTTTCTGTTAAAAAGATCAATACATTGCTTTTAAATAAATACTTATAATTGTTAAATGACAATCAACTGTTTACATATAATATACTCTAGTGATTAGTAATAGGCATACTGCAGAGAATTTTTATGTTACGCAAATGACTACACGAGTAATAATAAAAAACTACTTTTGACAGTTTACAGTTTTCTTTTTGAAATTAAAAATAAATATAGAAATTAAAAATTGAATTTTTTTTAACGTTAAAATTAGAATAAAATTATTTGATAAATTATTATTATATCAATAAAAAAAAATAATTTTATTTTTCTCTAAATAAAATTTGTAATGATAAAAAAAATTAATCATCATAACACAATCTTATCATTTATTATGAAGAAGAGAGAAATCAAATAAAAGTACACTAACAAGAAAAATTTGATAAGCATAAAGAAAATCGAAGTGATACTCAATTTTGACCTTGAAAAATTTATTTATTAATAAAAAGTGTTATTTTTAATTTACCTGGATTAATATAAATTAAATCTAGTTTTGGCATAATTTTTTTGATATGTTGTGTTAAAATTGACATTGTGGTAAACACGACAATACGACCCATCTTTACTTAAAAATCTTTAGACTAACAGAAATATATTTGATGATGCGTCTATTGTTCAACGGACCTTATTCAAACGTCAACTAAATACACTACTATGCATTATGTCAATATATGTATTTATATCTTCTAATGCAATAGTCAGCGTAGTAGGAAATTTCAAATTTCGCGTCATGCTGATTGTAAGGCTATCGTTAGTGTAAACAAGCCTTTAATCCCATATTTCCTAATATAAAATTGAGATGAAATGTATGTGAAACCAATCTATTCGTGATGTGATTGGTTGAAAATAAATATTCTCATTCTGATTGGTTGAAAGTTAATATAATATACATAAACGACACATAAATATATTATGACAATAAATATGATGCGCGCGCTTGCGCGCGAAAATTAAATTCTAGTTCTAGTCCTAATATAAAATTGAGATGAAATGTATGTGGCATCAAACTATTCGTAACGTGATTGGTCGAATATGTCATAAGCATGAAAATATATGCAAATTCCATAGTCAAGCGCGCGCTTGCGCGCGTTCCTAATATAAAATTGAGATGAAATGTATGTGGCATCAAACTATTCGTAACGTGATTGGTCGAATATGTCATAAGCATGAAAATATATGCAAATTCCATAGTCAAGCGCGCGCTTGCGCGCGTTCCTAATATAAAATTGAGATGAAATGTATGTGGCATCAAACTATTCGTAACGTGATTGGTCGAATATGTCATAAGCATGAAAATATATGCAAATTCCATAGTCAAGCGCGCGCTTGCGCGCGTTCCTAATATAAAATTGAGATGAAATGTATGTGGCATCAAACTATTCGTAACGTGATTGGTCGAATATGTCATAAGCATGAAAATATATGCAAATTCCATAGTCAAGCGCGCGCTTGCGCGCGTTCCTAATATAAAATTGAGATGAAATGTATGTGGCATCAAACTATTCGTAACGTGATTGGTTGAATATATCATAAGCATGAAAATATATGCAAATTCCATAGTCAAGCGCGCGCTTGCGCGCGTTCCTAATATAAAATTGAGATGAAATGTATGTGGCATCAAACTATTCGTAACGTGATTGGTTGAATATATCATAAGCATGAAAATATATGCAAATTCCATAGTCAAGCGCGCGCTTGCGCGCGTTCCTAATATAAAATTGAGATGAAATGTATGTGGCATCAAACTATTCGTAACGTGATTGGTCGAATATATCATAAGCATGAAAATATATGCAAACCCTTTAGTTAGGCACGCGCTTGCGGGCGCAAAATTCAATTCTAATAAAATAAAAAATCTCTTATCTACAGTTTATGTAAAAATTATTCTGATGCGCCCTGGTGAGTATAAACACAAGCTGTGGAATTCATAATTTTCACTATAGTGTCCAATCTATCATAAGATTAGCATGCATCCTCATATTATTTATTCTCTGGCCGTCCGCTTTTTACATGAGAAAAAAGTTAAAATCTAAAAATCTGGGTCGCTATAGTATGTGCTGATTATTTTTAATAATTTTAAATAGAAATCATCAAGATAATTAATAGTCATTTGTTAATACGTGTAATTAAGAGTATTTACTACTATTATAAAACATCATAAGAATAAAAAATCGAAATAAATTTGAAAAAAAATTTGCAACCTCAAAATACCGTTCTGCTTACGGTAAATACACACTCGGTGGTCTGGCTTGAGAACGGAACTTGGCGCCAAACTCTACCGAGTTTGTTGATTATACGAATCGCTGTCATCATTTAAACAATAATCCGGAAGAGGTTCACTTTTCATATTAAAAACAAGAATACATGTACTGTAAAAATCCTCTTCATTAATCGATGATCAATTCACCCACGGTATCTAATAATACAGTAATCAATAATGTTTGTATATTTCATTTCTAAAATTGCGCCCATTACTCTGTTCTAAAATTTTTGTAAAGTCTCTGATTTATTATCATAATTATTTAACATTAATGTATATATTGGTGTTATGAGATAGTTAACATATGATATTAAAAACATTTAAGCAGGAACCGTTCATCTTTCTCAAATGTTAAATTTTTAGCATAATCGCCTTCATTATACATACAAAATTGCTAATAATTTGATTGTTTACATTAAAAAAAACTATCAATATTAACTGAGAAGAAAAGTTTATACATGATTAATTTTTGGAATTAAGAGTAAAGCTCAGTGGCTCAGCTTGTTGAGTTACGTTAAAAATAGTTTTTTATCTCTAGTATATATGAGTATACATATTTTGAATTGTACATAAATAATCAAAAAGAACAAATCACTTCTTATAATATTAAAAAAAAATTGTATTCCTGAATTTTCAAGTACTTCATTTTCCACATGTCAAGAGTGTAGAAATAATTGAATAAATTTTTCTAAAAGCTATTCAAAGTTTGCTTGATATTTGTTCTCAGTTTTTTTTTTTTTTTTTTTTTTTTTTTAACGTACTTGTATTGCAATTACAGTGATGCAGTCGACAGCTACTGGGAGTGGAGCTTACCCGGGGGGTGGCACAGGCAGTAGAGCACGAGACTTGGGTTTAAGAGCACAAAAAAAAATTCTGGGACGAGTTGTTTCTTCAAATGCTGGAAGATCTCTTTTTATAGACGATGCTACAACGTCACTTCTTGACAATCTCTTCAAGCTTATGGAGAGAGTAGCTAAAAGCAATCCGAGCCTCAATAAAAAACAACCGGAGAAAGTTTTAAAAAATATTGTTAAATTGTCTATCAAGGTATGAATGTAGAAAAATACATTAATAAGATTTATATTTAATTAACATCTTGTGAAAATTATTTGCAGATTGGATTATTACAACGTAATCAGCAATTAAATTCTTCTGATGAAGTTAAAATAAATGATATCCGAGCGAGTTTGAGGGCTGTGGCGATGTCTGTAGTTTCATTTTATGAATTAGAATTTAGTTTTGATAGAATTTATTTAACGAGGTCATTAGAGCGCTGTCGAACAGCGATATTAAATTTGATAAAGCCGCACTTGACAGATAAATCTCAAGAGAGATGTGACCAAATTTTTGATTTTATAACTTATCCAGACTTTCTCGACAGTGTTTTTCAATCTTCAGAATTGAGGCCAACACTGGGATTACTTGTGGATGATATTAATAAAGCATTAGATGCTGGACATCTTTGATTTAACAAAACTATTGCAACTGCAATCAAAACTAATTATTTAACTAATGTTTTAATTAAAACATTGTTTGCGTCCCGCACAACTTCACATCCATTGTCTCTGACTCAGTCAGATTTTTATTGTTATCTCTACTACAATTTACATAAAATATACCATGAGAGAAAATTGTAAATTTATTCATTCCAAGAATACTACGGATTTTTTATTGTCAGAAAAATATGACCAAAAAAGAGAAAGTCATGAAATTATTTTTTAATGTAATTAATTTTTAACAATTGTTGTGATTTTCGCAATAATGATAATTTAATAACTAATACTCTTTCCATTAAATACTTTATAAATTGTTTGTATTTTTAAGATATTAGTTTTGTTGTATATTTATTATCTTTTGTCAGTAGTTTATAATTTAGTAATTATATATAATAATTGTATCAATACCAAAAAAGAAACCAAGAAAAAGAACAAATAATTGAAGACAAAACGTTTATCGTGTTATCCTGCATGATTAAACATACTGCCTATGCCTCAGAACACCTAATTATCAATAAATATTATATAAATTTTGGACACAACTACGTCAGTTAGTGAGAAATACTTACTCAATAAGAAAACTGTAATATAGTTTTGGACTAAAATATAAATTAATTAGTAGGGATTACTGTGGAGAATATAAAATGCAAAGATTTTATTAAAATTACGAAGAAATCAAAACATTAAAAAATGACAATTACAATTGTAATAAATTTAATAATGAATTAGTATAATGCATATTTGTTTAAATATGTTTTTAAAATATAATTATTTGTAAAAGTAAATATGCACACATGAATATTTGTAAAACAATTTTAAATTGTCTTCATAAATAAAAAAATAAAAATGTGTAAATTAAAAGACATCTATAAGAGATTAAATATCTTGCTTCATATCAGGAAATAATCAAATTTGACTTTTTTATTATAAAAGACATGATGAAAAAAAGTAATAAAATAAATAGTAAATAATAAATATTTTAATTTTACAATTTGAAAATTTTGTAAAAATTATACACCATATTTACACGGAAATTTTGAAATAATCAAAAAATAGTAATTATGTATATTTATGTGATGTATTGCCATATCGTTATAATAAGAATAAATTATATAAATAAAAAAAATTGTGATAGAACTTTTCTTAACTAATACTATATAGTATTCAATACCGTGTTGAGCAGAATTAAAAATGCATATTCGAATAAATGTCGTCAAATCATTTTATTTTTTGTTTTGTTTTTCTTTTTAATTGATTATTTTTTTCATGTGTTCGGTTGAAAAGAATACTTTATCATCAATATAATTCGTTGAAGATGACGTTTATTTACATAAAATTATTCTATTTTATGTATCAATTAGTTACAATCATTATTACATATTATTAATAGAGTATTATCCAATAGAAATAAAAAAAATAGTTAGTAATCTCAAAACACCCTTTATAATTGATTTATTTTTTTACTCGAACATACTCAAATTAAAAAACGATGAGTAATGAATAGAATATAAATTAAATTTACTAGCATTATCTCATTAGTTATTAACATGAATTTTTTTTCTCGGAATCATCAAATGTTTTTGGCTTGCATTATTACATTTGGATAATTAAATGTATTTATTGGCACGATTATTTTCATTCCCATGTTACATTAAGACTTTTAATTTAAATCTAAAATCGAGTATAATTAATTTATACACTTCTACATGAAAAATTTCAGATTTCAACTCTTACCATGATTTTATAATTCTATTTCCATTGATAAAGAAAAAAAAAAGAACATTTATTAGTGCTAAAAGCCACTTGTATAAAATTAATTTCATAATTCAATACATCAAAAGTAAAAATAATTTTTTTAACTAAAAAATAAATTTTTATTTGCCGGATCAATATTAGCAAACAAAATATTTCATGTTTACTTATTTTATTTTATTAATTTTTTTTTTTCTATTTAGGTCATAAAACTTTTTTCAATTATCAATTTAAAGCTATGAATATTAATCGATTAAATTTTTGTCTATACACATTTATTAAAAGGATAACATGTATCTATATATAAACGTATAAATTGCATGAAACAAATAAAGCTTATAAATATTTTATACTGAGACTTTTACCGCACGTCAATTATAATGTAGTAGGAACACGGGTGTATAAAATGTATTACCTTAATATGAACAATATAAGAAGTTAGTATTATTATTATTATTATTATTATTATTAATGATAATAATAACCATATCATAATATCTGTTTTAGTAAAAGAATAGTGATAAATAATAAAACAAATTTCTTTCTGATTAAAAATTAAAATATTTGTATTATGTATTACTATCACACTCGTATTGAATAACAATAAAACTTTACCGAATCCAGAATAATTAGAATAAAAATTAATCGACTAAACATTAAATTATTCATGTACATTCTTATCTAAATGCGTCGCTAAAATTATCTGTACAATATTAATGATAATTAAAATAATAGTTACAATGAGCGTAAGTTTACATTTAAAAATAGAATATGACATACTCTTATTTTTAGGATTAATAATTCTGATTTAAAAAAAAAAAAAATAGTACACTTTTGTCATTGAAATAAAAGTTTCATAGAAAATTTCACTGATTGCCTATAGTTTCATAAAATACATGACACAGTTCATTACCACGATTAAAAACATTATAATTTCTGAATTATCAGTGTCATGACATAATCCTAATATTTTCTTTTAAAATAAATATCATTATTTTTCAGTTTTTATTGTATAGAGTCTAATTATATTAATTAATGATTTACTATAATTATCAAGATAATTCAGTTCTTTTGTAAGCATGTTATTTTCTTACTTATTAGCTTATTAGTAACGAATTTAATAACGATAAAAAAAATGTATGTCAGTTCCGACGCACGATTGAAGTTAACTCTTTCCAAACGATTATTATGACATTTATACAAAATCGAAAGGATAAATACATGCATCTTTCAAAATAATAAAAGCATAATTGAATGGGTGTATCAAAAAACTGACAAATTTTTTTTTCTGCAAATGATCATGAAATTTTGTCAAAGAATGTTAAAATAAAGACCCTGTTAAAATTTGAATTCTAAATATTGATATTTAGGCGTTTTTAGTAAAAAATTGAACATTTTACGAAAAAGGTAAAAAATTATTCTTTATAATTTTGCCGAAAATGAAAGAAAAACTACCAACTTTAATCTCAAATAACTTGTGAAAATGTGAATTTATTGAAAAATCGCGGAAGATATTTTTTGCAAAACGTTCAACTTCATTTAAAAATGTGTCCAAATGGTCGGTGACAGCCTACTCAAAATAGGTCATGTATTTAATAGGTAACTGGCGGCTATAATTGAACATTGATTCGTAGAGTTAACTTTAAAAAAAGAAAAAAAAAAAAAAAAAAACAACAACAACATCGTCAGTAATTTAAAATCATGTGATGATAAAAATTTGAATTTAAAATTAATTTTAACTAAATAAATTATTTAGCATTACAATAAAAATATCAATTGTCAAAAATAAATAACACAGTATTTAAACTAATAATTACTTTCACGGAAGATTGAATTTTCATAATATTAAATAAAACTATTCTCATCACTGGAACTCCTATAAATTAATTTACATCAAATTAAGATGAAATTGATTTCGACAATTACGAATTATTGCCATAATCCAGCGTAATTCCCATAAAAATTTGCTGGAAGTGGTCCGCCAGCTGTGAATAGACGAGTACCGGATGCATCGTAACAGTGTGTATATATTGCTGGTGTGTATTTTACATTTTGAACACCGTCCATGAATTCTTCATCTGGGAACTATCAATAGGAAATTTGTAATGATATTATTTAAAATATTATCTTTGAATTTTATAAATAAAGTAGAGCTGTTCAATTTATTCAATTAAGCAGGCTAATAAAGTTCAATTAGTAAGCTGAATTATTTTAACATAGTACCCGTAAGCGCGAAATAAATTAATCTTGCTTAAATTAATCAGCCAAATTTTTTTACTAATGACACCAGTAAAATTTGATATTTGGCTTAGTCTTTTAAATTGCACAGCTCTAAATTAATAAGTATTGGAGAATATTACAACGTATCCTTTAGAAGCTTTCAAAACTACAGTTCGATTAGAATTTATTGATGATTCTAAATACTTTTGAGCTCTGACATCATAAAACATTAACATTCCTAATCCTGTACCAATTGTAAGCACAGACCCTTGAAAACTAGCAGATCGTATTCCGCAACCAGTATACCTAGAATATGTTTTGATAGTTATTAATGACAATTAATTTTTCATTTTAATTAAAAAAAAAAAAAAAATGCATAATTTAATAGAAATTATGAAAAAATAAAAATAAATTGATAAACATTTATACATACCTAGATGGAATTTTTTTAATTGGTTGAAGTGTTCGTGCATCCAATAAAAGAGTATATGAGCGACATCCGACTGCATACACACCACCATCTTGAACAGCTAAACAAACATTTTCTTGGCATGCTGGAAGCTTTCTTGATATTTTTTGTTTAAACGTTTCAGCAGACCAAATATGTATGTAACAATTTAAAGATAATGCAGCAATTTCATTAATAGCTTTATTGAACACCAATGCACGAACTTTCTGCGCTGATCGACATTCTTTTACACAAACTGGTTGAATTGATCTGTTAATATCATATCAGAATTTACAATTTATCTAAGCGTATAGTAAATTAAGAAAATGAATGCTCATTAATTAACTCAGTATTAACTCACTCAGGCTTTGGGACATCTGCTTTGTCCGAAGCAGTCGCAAGTTCGTTATTTATATGCCATAATGTCATTTTAGTGTCTCTCGAACCTGATACTAAAAATTCGTCGTCGAGCCAACACATATCGAACACCCAATCTCTGTGGCCATTTTCTCCAACACATACAGGATCTAAGGTTGGCAATCGATAAATGGCTATTTCATTGCAATTTCTACCTCCAGTACTTAATAATGTTCTACAATAAATTTAAAAAAAAGTTGTATTAATGTATTATTTACTCAAACTAACTACTTTGATAAATTTAATAAAATCTACATTGTCTTATAGACATCATAAATTTGAATCAACTCTCGTTAATGATTATTGAATGGCAATGATAATTTTTCGTAAAAACTAGAGACAAATTTTGTAAAAATATGAATTGTTAATAGAAAACAACGGCTATTTATTTTTAAACTTGATTGGATATAATTATTAAACTTGATAACTTACGGTACTAAAGTTAACACGTTTAATAATTTTTCAAATATTGAAATTTTTATTTCTTTGAAATAGAAAGAGTTTCAACGCGTTAATGAAAAATTAATACCTGTTAGAATAGTATAGGTATAACCACCCGGAAATATTTGGAAATTCGCGTCTTCATAGTTTTTTCTAAATTATCAATAAGGAGGTTAAATTAACAAAAACAATCATGAGTAAAAGCGAGTACACGATAGTTTGTAATAAAGGCATCACTAAGAAAATAAAATTATAAAAAAAAAATTCCGTATAGGAATTAAGGGGGAACACCACTGTGACGATTGAAAAAAAGAGGTGATTTTCGGGAATTTTTTTGACCGGGAAAATAAAGGAATTCGGGAATCGGGGGGTTTTTTTTTTTATTTTATTAAGGGTACATTAAAGATTATTACCCTAAATTTTTATTAAAAAATATTTAATTATTACAAAGTTATTAACAATCTCGTCGAGCACTGGAGAAAATTTCCCCCCTTCACGGTCGGTTCGGTAACTCAAAAACTAGTTATCGTTGGACGTACGGAATTTTAAAAATTTTCATTTTAAAGATTTTTTTAGCCGGGTTAAAACAAAAAAAAAAAAAAAAAAAAAAAACAGTAAGAATAGTGAGAAAATTTTTAATCAGTCGCCATTTGTTTAAAAATTCAAACTTTCAAAATTCCGTACGTGCGACGATAACTACATCTTTACTGATTAACAAGCAATTTGGCTTTTTATTTTTAGATAATCTGTTTTTGAGTTATCGAACCGACCATGGAGGGGGGAATTTTTTCTAGTGTTCTACCAGATTGTTAATAACTTTGTAATAATTAAATAAGTTATATATTTCCAGTTGTACCGTGTAGAGAATTAAGTTTGAATTATAGCAGCCCGGACTAAAAAAAGTTGGCTGTAGACATGATGACCAGACGAAATCAATAATTAATAAATTTAATGTTCGGAGCCCTTTACGGTCGGCTATTACGGGGGAACACCACTGTGACGATCGAAAAAAAGAGGCAAAAATAGATCATCTGAAAATAGAAAACCAAATTGCTTTTTAATCAGTAAAGATGTAGTTATCGTCGCACCTACGAAATTTTGAAAATTTTAATTTAAACAAAAATGGCGACTGATTGAAAATTTTCTCACTATTCTTACTGTTTTTTTTTTTTTTATTTTAACCCGGCTAAAATAAAAATTTTTTGAATTCCGTACGTGCGACGATAACTACATCTTTACTGATTAACAAGCAATTTGGCTTTTTATTTTTAGATAATCTGTTTTTGAGTTATCGAACCGACCATGGAGGGGGGAATTTTTTCTAGTGTTCTACCAGATTGTTAATAACTTTGTAATAATTAAATATTTTTTAATAAAAATTTAGGGTAATAATCTTTAATGTACCCTTAATAAAATAAAAAAAATCCGATCCGCAAATTCCTTTATTTTCCCTGTCAAAAAAATTCCCGAAAATCACCTCTTTTTTTCGATCGTCACAGTGATGTTCCCCCTTAAAATAATTTATGAATGATTTTTTAAACTAAACCAATAAATGATCAGGTGTCTGCTGATTTTAGTAACATTGATAACTTTCAAGATTTAAACTATTAGCCAACTTTGAACTTTATATTAAGTGATAAATAATATAATTATAATGAAAAATTTACCTCGATGGATTAATTTGAACAGAATGTATACCAGACTGTTGTTCAGCAGTTGAGGCATTATTCGTACTTGAATTACGACCGTATAACGACGGTATTTGATCTAATTTTTGTGTAGCTACATCATAAACCATAAGTTTATTACATTTGGTACCAAAAACTACTTGTCTATCACTCAACCACTGTGAACAAAATACCTTGTTCATATTAGTTAAAGTGATAGGATATTCTTTAAATAAATCATGAGTCAATATATGTCTTGAACCATATTCTTGATTAATTTTTCTAACTTCTTTAGTATTTGTTTCCCGTGCACGAACATAATCTACAAAATTAAATGAAGTTTTTAAATATTGACGACCTTCCATAACAGTTTCTTCTTCATCATCACTTGACTCATAGCAAACAAAGTCTTCAGGCTTATCTGGCTTACGATTTCTATCTAACCGTAATGCAAGTCTGAAAATAAATCATTTACATAGTTAATAAACAACCAACCAACAAAGACCATGATTATTTAAATTTACACTCACCTACGGCTCCTACGTTCTTCGAGCCTTGTTAAGTTTGCACAAGTTGGATGTTTTCCATAAACTCGCATTCGCATTGTCTCAGCCATTGCGTTCACCAATTATTTATATATTCTCAGTAATAATTTTTTTTTATACTACTTTTCTTTGTTAAGTAGATTGAACAAACTAATTACTTATTGCCTATCAATAAATAAAGTATTTCTTCCGCATAAATTTGAATAACTATAAAAGAAAAAAAAAATTTCACAATGTGGAAAAAAATTATCACTTATTCAATTGAAAGATAAAAAAAATAAGTATAATCTTATACAAAAATGTGAAGCTTAGCTTGTCAAAAAAAAATTCTGAGACTAATTCTGAAAATAATTAAACCCTGATATGAAATACTCACCTAATTCAATGAAGATAACAAAAAAAAAACAAAGTTGTATTGTAATTAACAATTGCCAAGCCCGTAACTGTTTCACAAGCCGTTCTTATGTATAAAACTTGAATTTTTATGATATACTAAATTATAATTCTCAGTGGACTTCGTGGCATGTGAATTTTAGTTACGTATTTTTAATTGTTACTGAAGTCGTTGCCTTACTTTTAATAATATAAATAAAGGATATTATTATGTACATTATCAGAACATATTAAAATGCACAAAGCTTAAAAAATTTCACAAGTAACACACCACGAAGCCTTTACAATACTAGACAATTACGAACGCCATGTTGAGATTGGCTAACTTCGATTTGATCATGACAGCAGCAGCGCCCTGGCTATCGCTATAGGAGGAACCTTGCGGCAAATACAGAGGCAGCACTTCTGTCGAAACGACATCCCCTATTGTTGAATCCTCGGAATCCTCTAAATTAAAAAAAAAAATTAAAATACATGATACTCTTGAAGTTAGTCAAAGGTCGAAACTCGCAAAAAACGGCCCACGATTCATTATTGGTTCAAATTTAGGCGCGCGCGTAGCGCGCTATTCAAATTTTTAATTTATGCTTAAAAAATGGCAAAAATATTAAACCAAGCAATGTAATAATTCATGAAATATTAAAAAATTAATAGAATTTAGCTTTTTGACCAGCAGCAATTGGTTGTATTCAAAACAAAAACAATTCAGAATAGAGAAGGGCAAGAAAAATCAATTAATCGAACATCGATGTTTTTTATTCGATGATCGATTCTTTTTTCTCGATGTTTTTGAAAGAAAAATTTTGAAAAAGAAAAAAAATTTCGCTTTTCACAACCAGACTCTTTAAATATTAATCTAGAGTCTAGAGTAACAACAATGTCTTGTTCAGCAGTGTATTAGAAAAGACGAAGATCCAATAAAATATTGAGACTCTGTTAAAAACGCTTTTCCAAAATTATTCGTGGTAGCCATGAAATTATTGTGCGTTTTTGCAACGTCTGCTGCTCCATCGAAGCGTTTATTTTCCAAAGCTGGGGGCATAAAAACGTAACGTAGAAACAAATTAACTGGTTCAAATTTTAATCAATTTGTATTTTTAAGTTTCATTAAATAAGAAAGATTGGACGTTTTAACTATTTTTGCACGCCTCATAGCGCGAAGGGGCGTGTCGGATATAATTATATCTGACTCGTCAAAGGTTAAGCAATTTTGTGATCTTCAAATGCCTCTATCACAACCATATTGTACTTATACAATAATATAAGTAGATGTACACCGAGATAACACTTAAATTAAGCCATCTTATACTTTATAAAATCATTTAATGTTGCTATTTCGAAAAAAATTTTACGTGAACGTCCTGATGTCATCTTTATTTTGTATGTATACTATCAACGATTACTCCCGAACAAATTGATATTTCGAGACCGGGCTTTTTTTATTACACAATTACACAATTTATTTTTTTCTTAAAAAATGAATGAGCGTTATGAGGTGTGCACTTTTGGATTTTCTAAACTTCTTTATACTTATTTTATATAAAACTAATTTATTAATCTAAAAATAATTTTTGAGAAATAATAGTTGAAATTGTTGAGCCTACTCCCTGTTAAAAATTACTATTCTAAAAATAATATATTGAAATGTATATTTGTTACGTTTAAAAAAAAAAAAAAAATAATTTAATGATAGTACTCAATTCGAATAATTGTAGCTTTCGTCCGATAATTTTTCAAAAACTTATGTGTAATTAAATTATTATAAAAATACAAATATTAAAAAATGTACTTGGAAAAACTTGACAATATTCTTTGTGTAATGTAAAATTTGTCAGATTATTTATACAACCATAAAATTTGAAGTTATTTCACACCTTTAAAAAATTATTTATTTGCTTACTTACATATGAAATAAATATATACTTATATTTAATATGATAAGTGTAATAAAATTAAATTTTTTATAATCTTCTGCTATTATATCTATTTTCCAAAAATTAATAATGATATTGATCGTTTAATTCTAACTAATCAACGACAATAACAATAATGAAAATAATAAAATGAGTTTTAAATAAATAAAATGAATTTATTTAAGAGCTCTTAGGTTTACTTTACTATACTGAAACAACTACATGACGTTCTTGTATATACGAACTTTTATTGGTGGATTTTACTTGTATCATAATTTGTATTTGACCAATGAGATTTTATTCTAAATATGTAATGGTTAATTTCAGTATCCAGTGAAACAATAATTGAATAATACCAAATTTGATAAAGTTTAGAGTTGAAAATATTAAAAATAAAATTTTTTATTTTTTTATAACATTTATAAAAGGCGTGTATTAAGTTTTTACTCGAATCGTTTCATTATTAAGTGTATAATAGATACATACAATGAAAGTTTAAAAGACTTGATATTCCACGTGTGACTATCAGTACCTATTTACACTTCGCAATGGCAGCGTTTAAAAAAACAAACGTTAAAATTTATGTTAAAAATGCACCTGATCTTACACCTGAGAATATTTATTGGAAAAAATATTCAGTAAGTTGTTTAACACATGACTATTTATTTAATATGATTACTAATCTTTATTAAGATGAATAATGTTTAATTTTTGAGACCACGTGTGTATCTTAACCTCTAATATCAAACATATATTTATCCAAACATCCATTGTCAATTAATAAAAAAAAAAATTTATTTATTTCAGGCACCAGTATTGGTGAAAGAATTTGGAGCGATAGATTATATAGATTTTTCACCAGCTGAACCACAAAATTTTGCTGTTACTTGCTCAGTAAGAGTTCAAATTTATAATACAGTAACAAAACTTGCTACCAAGTTTAAAATACCCTTTAAAGAATTCGCCTATGGAGCATCTTTTCGTGCTGATGGAAAACTTATTTGTACTGGTGGACAAGACCAATGTGTACGTCTTTTTGAATTCGGAATTAAACATCGTGCATTGCGGATATTTTCTGGTCACAAAGCACCAGTACACAGAACATTTTTTACAACTGATGGATATCACATAACATCATTTTCTGATGATAAAAGTGCCGCAGTCTGGGATATATCTGGAGAATCACGAATAATAACATTTGACGAACATACTGATTATGTTAGAGCTGGAGCAGTTAGTCCTATTTCACCGGATATATTTTTATCCGGTAGTTATGATAATACTGTTAAAATGTATGACACTAGAACTAGTAAAAGTGTATTTACTGTTAATCACGGTGCTGCAGTTGAAAGTGTCATATTTTTACCTTCCGGAGGAATATTTATTTCAGCAGGTTAGTAAAATTAATTTTTATAATTTACTGTAATCATCTTTTGAATTTTAATACTATATACCTAAAATATCATATTTTAGGTGGCACAGAAATGAAGGTATGGGATGCGCTCGCTGGTGGTAAACTTTTAGCTAAAATCTCTCAACATCATAAAACCATAACTTGTCTTGCTCTGTCATCTAATGGTCATAAAATACTGTCAGGATCTTTAGACAGGCATGTTAAAGTTTATGATGTAGGAACCTACAAAGCAATTCACACGTTTGACTATCCAAATTCAGTTTTAAGTCTTGGAATTAGTGTAAGTGTGATTTTTTTTATGGTATAAATTTTTTTTTTTTTTCTTATCCTATAAGTACACTGATGCTACTTTCTTATAAATTTTAGGCTGGTGATGAAACGATAGCAGCTGGAATGATTGATGGTTTAATATCAATAAGAAGAAGAGAAAATGATGAAAAAACGAAAGATGAAAAACGTAAAAAAGTATCTCACAGAAGACGTGGATTAAGTCAACATTCATCAACAATAGACGTAATTGTTCCACTTGAGAATAAAGATATACAAAGCAGACACGATGTATTTCTCAGAAAATTTCAGTATTCGAGAGCACTAGATTGTGTTATGGTGACATATATTGCTAATAAAACCCCACATGTGACAGTAGCTCTTCTACAGGAGCTTACACGTCGGCAAGGTTTACAACAAGCTTTGGCTGGAAGAGATGGAAAATCTTTAGTCAATATCTTAAAATTCATTATTAAACATATTGGAACCCCACGGTTTGCCCGAGTTTTACTTCACGTAACTCACGTTTTAATGGGTATGTTTATTGAAATTAAAGTTTTGTTTGAAGAAAATTACATCGCGTTACAGATACCACAAGGGCGTATAATAAAAATTCTTTTCTGTCCAAAAAAATTTTATGTTGAAGAAACAAAAATACGTCGGTTCCCAAAAAAAAATTTTTTTTATACGCCCTTATGGCATCCGAGGTGGGTCCTGAGAGCCATAATGGCGTATAAAAAAATTTTTTTTTTCGGGAAAACTTATTTTTACCCGAAACGTCGAGAAATACAAGAAAAAATTTTTCTTCAAACTAAAAATTTTTTTTGGACTTAGAAAAAATAATAGAATTTTTATTATACGCCCTTACGGCATCCGAGGTGAGTCCCGGGAGCCATAAGGGCGTATAAAATTTTTTTTTAGCATTTCTGCACGTTTCAGACGAAACTACGTCGACTTCCGAAAAAAAATTTTTTATAAGCCCTTATGGTTATATTTATCAGGACCTTTTGCCGGTATACGCCCTTATGGCATCTGGAACGCGACATATTTGGAGTAGAAATTAATTTAACTATCGTATTTTCATTATAGATTTGTATGAGGACACAATTGATGAACTTAATTTGGAGTGTAGAACAATGTTCTCTTCATTACATCAAAAATTAAATGACGAAGAAGAGCTAATAACATCTATGACGGAACTTCAAGGTGCTCTATACATGATATTGTCAGCTTCTGAATCAATGCAAGGAACAAATATTAAAGAACCTCAGATCTTGGAACCTTCCAGCGCAGCTCAAAAAAATTTAGTTCTAAATATTTCTTGATAATGATTTTTGTTAATATTATCAATAAATAATTTTCTGTAAATATAAACATACTTTTTTTTTTCTTTTTAATAAAAATTATTACCATATTTTACATGGATTAGATTGATTACAATTGATAATTAGAAAGCGTTATAAAAATGAGTAATTAATTATATTTTTCTGAGACACTTTTGCCATGCTGCGGATGACGGAAGTTTAGGCATCACCCAGCCGATGGGAATACGCCTTCCTTCTCCTTGGTAGTTAATATATCTATCCCACATAACTCTGAAACAACAATTCAATTTATTATGATAATTTTACAAAGATTTTTATAAATGTTAAATAAGTCTGCGGTTCTTACCTGATCATCACAAACTTATTAAGGTCATTTCGAATTTCATTATTCACTGATGAAAGTTTACGTCCAAATATGGCCATTTCCCAGTCATCAAAATTATTTTTCTTTTGTCGAGTTATTACTTTTTCATTATCTGTTTGTAGCATTAGTTTTAATCCGCGTTCTTCAATTGAATATTCACTATCAAGTTTCGACCACTGTTCGATTAATTGGACTATAAAATAAAATAAAAATATCATTATTATTAATATAACAAAAAAACGTTAGCATTAATCAAATTTAAATAAAAATTTACCTATTATATTTTCAAAAGATTGATCAGCAGCAATAGATAATTTTTCTCCTCGTGCACGAGCATTGGCAGACGTAACTTTACGTAAATTTTTGAGTTCATTAAGCAAAGACAAATATTTTCTTGCGTCACAACGTTTACCACGTATATCCGATAAAATCATATCCGCATCTTTACGTAAGTCCTTCTCTTGTTTTTCGCGTTGAATTACATCCAGTTTATCACGGATCCAAGCATCTACTGTCGAGTGTGATTGAGCTATTTTTTCATTATTTTGTGATTTTTTAGCTTTCCATTTTAGTCGTAACTTTTTTTCTCTTATTCTTTTTGTCTTACGCTTATCAATTAATTCTTTTAATTTACCAATTATATCATTATTATGCAATGTCAATGATAAATTTTCAATTTCTACTTTTATTTTCCAACACTGTTTTAATTTTTCATTCCATTCATTAATTTCTAAATTATTTTTATCCTTTTCTAACTGAGAAATTGTATCTTTTAAATTAGAATTCAATTTATTAATCGACGATAACAATGATTTTATTTGAGATATTCCTATTCTTTTATTACTATCTTGCACATTTCTTAGTTTTTTATCAAGTTTCAAATCGTAATTTTTATCAATAAAATTATTTATAAATTCAGTATCTCGCATTCGTTGATCAACATTAATAACTAAACAATTATTTTCAACTTCTGTTCGATTGTATTCAAATGAATTAATTAATCCAGACGATTCATCGTATCTATTCACTAGTAGCCGGCCATACGGATAATCGGAATTGTAATTTGCATAGAATTGTGATGTATTTTGATACTGAATGTTTTGTGCTAAATAGTTACTGTTTGTATACATGGCGATAAATAAATTAATTTATTAGTATTAACTACTCTCAACTCAACTTAGTACTTTAAATTATTAAAAAATAAGAAAAAAAACTTGACTTTAGTACTAGTATAAATTATATAAATCCGTTAATTTTCTTATAATATTGTTAAAAAAATGAAAATAAAAAAAATCTGTTTTTATGCTAAATTAGTAATTTCCTTCGGTAATTGAATTTTTGCCTCAGCAATTATTTTTTCAGCTTCAATATAAGTTTCTGTTTCTTTTAAATCTTGTTCCGAATCCAATATATTTTTCAATTCTTCATAAGCTTTTACTAATCGACGTTGACAATCAGGAACCATCATCAATGACTCTTGTAAAACTTCTTCTTGTTTTTTAATATCATGCTGATCTTTACCTGAAATTTATTTATAATCATAATTAATAATGCATTTTAATTCTATCATTTTTTTAAATAATATAGTAAAAAAATTAAATTTATCAATTGGTTAAATACACTTTAATTAAGTTATCACGTGCATTCTTTTCTCATAGATTTATTTTACAATATGTAAATGATTTTTATGAACTTACAAATAATCTTATTGCTATTTTGAATATGATTAAATCTTAGATTTATTAAATACCTTCTTTTTTATATTTTTCAACGCGTTCTTGTTGTTGAGTAGCCTCTTTTTCATAAGTTATTTTTTCTTTCGTTAGACGTTTTACAACACCGGTTTTGATTTTTAATGTACGTAAACGCGGATCGGACATTTTATAGAATAACTTTTTATAATAATAAAAAAAACTTATTATATTATATAAACTTATCTTAATATTTATTATAAGAAGTGATTTTATTAATACCTAATAAGGATTCGATGATCAGCAACAAAATGTGTAATAAAAACGTTTTATATAAAAAGTTATTAAGGTTATGGCGCTCCGACGTGGAAGATGAAATGATGAATCAGAAATAACTTGAAGTTAACGACGAAAAAAATTTTCAAATATTTTATTTTCACTACTTTTTACAAAATTTATTCCTTTTTTTCTTTACTTATACATTTAAAAATATTATTTTTATTGAATAAATTATTTTATAACTGTTAAAATGATTTATTGAATATAAAATTAATTTATTTTTAAATTATCGAATTTACGCGCGTAAAGTTATTACTGGCTAATTTCACAGTACGATAGTGTTTAATGAAAATAGGTTCAACATTTTTTGGGAAAAGTGTTGTTTGTTAAACAAAAAAAAAAAAGAAAAAGAAATGCAAAAAGTATATAAAATTTTTTTTATAAAATACTGCAATGGCGGATAAATGTTTACTACTGCATGGTGCAGAGCAAAAAAAGTTGGGTAGACCGGTAGACGAGATAGAAAAAAACGATAAAATTATTTTTTTATTGAGGCTAATCTAAGTGTGCTGTTGTACATACATATACCTATAACTATAACTATGTATATATGTATGATTGATTTTTTAAAGAAATGTAACTAAATTAAGTGATAGTGTTACAATATGCAAGAAAATACATTTCCAGCGGCTGAAAAAATACTCTCTGATATCGAGAATGTTATGAAAAAAGATACAAACCTGTGAGTTATATTTTTATTAATTTTCTTTAAACAGTATTACTCCTGGGTAGGGCGGGGTTTTTAAAAATATTGTTTTATATTTTTATTATCATTTACGTAGAGTGTTATAATTATTAATGTCGATGTGTGTAAATTCATAATAGTTTATTATTTTCGACAAATATTTTATCATTACGTTAAATATGACTATTATTATTTTTTTTTATTAAATTAACAATTAATTAAAATGACTAAAATATGTATTTAATTTTCAGACAAAGTTTTGAGATAATTTTGGAAGATGACAATGAAAATAAGTCTCCTGTATACCATGAAGAAAATTCTCTGGGCTTGGCATCCTGGTGTGTGCAGCCACTTTATTGCTACACATACAATCGTCTCATAGAATTACGGAACAATAAATTACGCCGAGAGGATCCGGTAATGACTTCTCGCTGGTTACTGGGTGCAATTCTTCTCAATCCTGATGTCAATACCTTTTGGAATATGAGACGTGAATTGGTTCGTAATGGACGTATTGATGCTATCCAAGAATTGCGTTTTATAAAACTAGTTCTCTATCATAAGGCTAAATGTTTTGAAGCGTTTTCTTATCGACGCTGGCTTATTCAATTTATTTTAATAGAGAACCTACATGTCGATAACATCGAATCATTATTACAAGAAGAAATAAATGTTGCTATAATATCAGCAAACCGGTATGCCAACAATTATCATGCTTGGAGTTATCGACAGCACGTAGTATCAATGTATGAGGCCTTAATATCAACAAATTTTCATGAATTTCTCATTTCTGAGTGGGAGTCTTCTGAAAAATGGTGTAGTCTTCATGTTTCTGATTACAGTGGACTAGTTTATAGACAATTTCTGCTCAAACAATTACTTATTAAATCAGAATTAATCCAATCTGATGATATATTATCTTCGGAATATGTAGATGAACGTCGTAAAATTATTTATGAATATATTAATAAGTATAATAACGCACAAGGTTGTAAAGATATTAGTTATTTAGACAAAGAATCTTCTTGTGAATTTATTAACACTCTTCACGGCAACACTAATAATCAAAAATCAAATGTTGATTATTTACAAGTGTTAATAGCTTTATCTTACTGGATAGAAGATTGTATTCTTAATGAAGATCTTATTAAATGTTATCCTGGTCATGAAGCTCTTTGGTACCATCGAAGATTTCTCGGGCATACGCTTAGATGCATTAAACTTTCATACTCAAAGTATTCGTGCTACAAGGCAGAGTCTTTTGAATCTCCATATTGTATTCGACTCGAAAATAGTCACCAACGGTCAAGTGATAATGACTCTCGAAATTTACTTGAGATTGCTTTTAAAAATCATAATATAGATGTAATTGAATTTTCAAAACAACAAGGTAGCTATCAAAGTGATATTGCTGATAAATTTATAAAATTTTTAGGTATTTCACATATTGAATTCTAAGAAAAAAAAAATTTACTTCAATAGAATGAAAAAACAATTGTCATAAAATACACAAAAATATAATACTTTTCAAAAAATCTTTTAGATTATAAAAAAAATGTATTTTTAAATAAAGTAATAGTTTATGTATTATGTCATAAATTTTTAATTATCTTTAAAACATTTCCTTCAAATCTATAAGATTAGAAAATATTTATTAAACTGTAGTATTTTTTTTAAATTGAATTAAAAAAGAAAATAGCATAAAAATTTATTATCTCTTTGTAAAAATGTAAATAGTTAAGAAATAAGATGAATGGGGCCAAAATCAATCATCAAAATCCCACGCAAATGCATCATCAGACTCTTCTTCTAAGTTATAGGTAGATGTATTATTTAATTTCAATTTCATTATTATATTTTTCTTATAGTCTTTCTTTTTATATATGTGTATATACTATAAATCTATAAATCAATAAGTACTGAAAGAAATAATTAATTACAAAATTGATGCTCGATGTTGAAGGAAACAGAAAACTGAGTTATATTAGTTTAACAGCAAAACAAATACACTGTAGATATACCCAATACAGTAAATTCATAGCTAAATAAATACGAGCACAATTTATAAACTTAGTGTCGACAATCGTCGTTGAACACGTTGTTAGTTTACTTTTTATCCTTTGGCAACGTTGACCGAATCGTAACAGAAATAAACTATTCATATACGTAGAAGGTACTAACTAAAAAGTTTAGTTTTGTGCGAGCTTTAATAGGTGTACATTACTATTCAACGTTTATGTTATTATTATTATTATTATTATCTTTATTTAAATTTGCACACTTGTTCGTTATAGTTTGATTAAAATTAATAAATTTTTAAATACTGAACTTGAGTTAATTTAATAAAATTAAATAACAATTTTAATACTAATTGATGCAAGGTTACAAAAAAAAAAAATTACAATAAATGTCCACAATGACATTCCATTAAAAATTATTCATCACTTAAATACACACATTTTATTTCTCGTATCCAATATTATAATTATTAAAGAATTTAAAATTGAAAACGTCATAATTAAATAAATATTTTTAATAATTAATAAAATAAAAGATAAATAGAAAAATTAAAGTTACAATAAGTGTAAAAATAATACAAACGTGTCACATTTTGTTGTTCAATCGACCGGTTTTTATTCGATACATTAAACTCAGCCGGTTTATCCTGGATTCTGATTGGCAGAAACTCCAGAAACTCATGAACTATGTCAGGTGAAGAGTCACAAAGTAAACGAAGAAAGTCTGAATCTCGTTCGCGTCTATACAAGTCAACATCGAACCTTATTGTTAAAATATCAACATCATCATCAATGTCATCGTCTTCTTTACTGTCAATAGTACGTTCTAATTTACCAGTTATGCCTCCGAATCAAGATATTTGTGATAAAATTGCTGATAATTCACAAAGAGGTAATAATTTTATGTTGACATTTTAAATTAACGATAAGTCTATTTTAACCAATTATTGTAAATGGAAACATTTAAATTGGTTTTCTTTAACTATATGTTTTGTTTATTGGAATGAAGTCAAATAAAATATATATTTACTAAAAATAAATATTACGATTTTTATTCAAAAAGTTTCATCGCTATTAAAATTCTATTTTCATTTACAATAATTCATTAATTAACTCTTTGAACAGCTCCAACGTAGTATTAAATTGCGTCAACTGTGGATGTTAATCGACTAGGAATTTTTAACTTTAATAATATATTTGCTGGGATAATTTTACTTTTATTTATACATGTCAAAATTAATATTTTATTTAATCTATAAGTCTAAATTCCATCAATTTTTTCCAATAAAATAAACATTTTATTATTTACTCTTTTATTTTACAGGCTCCTTATTACTATAATAAAAATATACAAAATCTTGTTGAGAAAAAAAAATCTAAGATATTATTGTAAGTTTTCAAATCTGATTATATGAAAAATACCAAAAAACTTTGAATGTAATCGATCATGTCAACCAGGTCAAAAAAATAGTTTCCGTATATATTGTACATATTTAAATTATTAATATGATGATAAACGAACCGTAAGCTATAGAGGTAATTTTTTTTATTGATTCTGAAAAAAACTCATGAGTTTAATACACCCTTCAATAATTATTTAATAACAAATATTAGTGAATTAATTAAAAAAATAATTATAAGCAAATATTTAAATCATAATTTCCATAGTTATAAAATAAGTCATCAAATTCTGTTCAATTAATATTTAGAACAGAATTAATTCAAAGATGGTAAAAGAAAAAAAAAAGATAAAAGGCAGATAAACAGTAATTGCTATGAATAAATGGTTAAGGCAATAAAGATGAGTGAACTATTATATGCTAATATAAATGATTTAATGGTTTCCAGTTTGTATATTGTTGAATATTTAAGTTCATCGATAATTTAAGTCCACTTACTTTCATTACGTAGTAAAATAATTTATCGGTACATTAATCGCGCTTTAAAATATTTTTTTGGTGAAAATTATTTTCTGCACTTAGTCATGGTTTTTGTTTATTACAAAATTTTAGGATGATTCGTTTAGTTAGAATAAATATTAAATAAAAAGGCCAATGCCACGTGATTTATATCGTAAAAGAACTGGAGTCCTCCGGATTCAATTGCTGTATGCGCGGCTTTGTGCCAAAAACGTGTGAATCTTATTATTTTATAGTTATTCTAAAATTTTGATGTTGACAATAACTTAATAGATTGCCTCTCTTATTAATATAAATCTTTCTTCTATCAATTACATTAAATACAAGATAATAAAATTAAACAATTTGCCTTCAAAATTTTTATTAATGTCATTAAGAATATTCCAAATTCAAGGTAAAGTCTAATTATTTTCATATTAATAATTATTTTATGTTAAGTTTTTAAAAAGATATTACTAATTAGTGATTAAAAAAAAAGTTATTACTGAATATACTAAGTATTTTATATTTTACAGAAGAAGAATTGGGAAGTCCATTACGTCGTGGTAGTTCATTGAATTTCAAACGTTTACGACGAGAACAAGATGCTAAAGGGAATTGCCTCCGTGTACCCGATAGTACAAATAATGGATTAATTAGAAACAATAATGGAACTTATCAAGAATCAAGCAGTATACGTCCTGCCAGATATTCAGCACCTGCGTTGGTTGCACCTGCGCCGGAACAGCTTGCTATCAGTCTTCTTCAGCTTGGATGTCCTCTTGTTTCCATGCCCAGGTGAGTAATTTCAATCATCTAATATTTAAAATTCTCAAAATTTAATTTACAAAATTAATTAATTAACTTGTTAAATTATTAGTAATCATATAAATAATTTGTAATAAATACGCTTGACTCAATTTTAATTTTTCACAGTACTATAAAATTTATAAAAAACAATCATCTTGTTGTGGCATGAGTATACTGATTACATGTTGCATGAATATGCTCTAATAATTATCATAAACCCACATCGTCATTCTCATTTTTATGATGGTGAATCAGCTGGTTGAAAAATATTGAGTGCTGTGACCTGTGAACGATATTTATGAAAACCTTTCCAATGTTGATTTAACATAAATTAATGATTTGATTGGATCATGATGTTGATATCAGCATCACTATCTGTTATAAATTATATAATATTATAAATTCGTAAAAATGCATTGAAATGCTATAACTATACGGAAATACATCATCAGGAAAGTTAACAGTACGCTTACATTACATCTGCACATCTATAAAGAGGTATATAAGTATGTGATGTTCGGTCAATAGATGATCTCGGTAGCGCAGACGCCAAGTTGAGATGAGTGTATGCGTAGTTACCATTATACTTGCTATGTTGGTGAAGATGCAAGTGAATATGAAGGAATGAGAGTGATGAAGAGAAGCAGCATGGAAAGTCATAAGCTAAAAAAAAGATAGAGTGACAAAAAAACACGCGCGTTTCTCCGAGTGCGCGGGCTAAACATCATCATCATCATCACTATCATCATCATGATCATCATTGTCATCACCGTATTCTACTGTCACGGTCGCAATGTCGTGTTCTCATTTTCATAAAAAAGGAAACTTACATTAATCTGAATGATAAAGATATTTGTAACGTGAAAAGCCCAGTGAAAATGTTGCACTTTTTTTGCTTCTGTTAAAATATCCAGATAAATAATAATTAAGCTTTGGAAAATAAATGTTAAAAATTACACGTGTGTGTTGGAAGCCACAAATTTATTTTTAATATCACTTGAAATTTTTTAATAAATTTGTGATTGATCTATTGAAAATAATTATTTTCTAATGAATAAAGCATATGAAAATGTTTTTGATTTATGAACAGTGAAAAATTAAAAAATTAATTGCCATCTTTTAAGTTGAAAAATTTAATATAATAATGGCTTTAAAAAATTATTAGATTTTTTAAGTTTTATAATTAAAAAAAAAAAACGAGTACTTAATTCATTCATTGATATGTGCCTGCTGTAAGCAGCAATTTATCAGAACAGTGGCGCCCTTGTATTGGACTGCCAACTACGATAATCCCACTCACCACAGGTGCTATTTTTGAAAATAAAATTTATTTATAATTTTACTTAAATTAATTACCAACTCCTAAATATTATTACCAGGAATTTAAAATACCAAATCTTCCATGTGAAAGAGTGTTAATTTATTTATATTTTTTAAATAATCGCAGAATTATCGCAGAAAAATATTTATAAACTGTTAATTAAATATTTTATAAAATTAATTTCGTAAAAAGGGTACATTTGGAGAGAAATTTTTTAAAAAAGTATTTGCACGGTAAGAAATTCACCTTGCATTGCACAGCTGATTGTTGACAGTTAGTCTTACGTCAGCTGATCGTTTACTGCCATCTTTAAAGTTTTTATGATAAAGAAACTTACATTTTATTATTATTATTATTATTATTTATTTGTATACTACACTAGTTACAAGTTAACAGTTAATTTATATTTGC